GGAATTAAATCATCAAGGAATTCTAGAGGGGAAGGTTAGAGCACTACAGCACATTTTTAGTTGGTAGTAAAGAGTGAAAAGGTTTATTTTCAGTAAAATTATGAATAGGGCACGGATAGTTTAAATCAGCACACCACTTCTTTTCTCCCAGCATGCATAGAATCGGGTAACCAAGCAACCTATGTAAACAGTCAGAGAGAAGCCATGACTCTTGATCAGAGAGTACATACGCCAGATGCTGCAGTTTCTACTGGCCTACGTCTGGAGTTTTGCTCTAGGTGATAGAAACAAAGAAGGGACCCAGGGCTCTAAATGATCAGTTCCGGGGTATGCTGTTATCAGCCATTCTGGTCCTGGGGTAAAACCAGAGCAACAGCTTGGGCAGGTAGTAATCCTTTGCCCTTGGAGATCTGCGACTATCTTAAATGGAATGCTCTTTTTGGGACCTAAGCACTGACCAAATGCCTGCTGATAAAGATAATTACAGGAAGGCAGATATCTGCCTTTACCTGGGAGAAAGGCATGAAGGCCTGGCAGTGGGAAACCCACACAGTTGGGGAAAACAGTTCTAAACTGCAGGAATTAATTCCCAAATAGTAACAGAAGGGGAGTCAGCTACAGTGAAAATCTACAGCAAAAGACTGTGACTTTATTCACAAAGCAATAACTCCAAAAATCCATACCTTTTGGTTTAAAAGCCTTTACCAGAGCCCTTGGCTTCAATAAGTTGCTTGTGTGAAGATGACTGAGCAATTACTATATAATGCTGCAGCTTGGAGCAGGAGGAGAATCTTCAGAGACACTCATCCAGTGACCTACTTCCTCCACCAGTTACCCCATTCAGCTGTGAACTCATCAATAAATTAACCAGTTTATGATATACTTCTGTCTGGGGGACCAACCTCCAGCAGCACAGGGCTTTGGCAGGAATCCACAGAGATGGCTAAGCTAAACTTTTCTGGGGTTAGGGAAAAAGGTATTCACAAACTCTCTTGATGTTTTCCTTCTTTATTCCTAGTCTTCTTTTTCCTCTTTATTCTCTCTCTATTCTCTCATGTTGTCTTACAGTTTCTATAGCCCAACAGAATCTTCCAGCTAGGACAAGAGTCCAAACAGTTGTATTCCATTTTTCAAGTGGATGATTATAATGAAACAGGTAAAAACATGTTTTCATCTCCCTCACATGAGCAAACATTTTATGTATTACTGTATTACAGGTGAAAAACAAATCATTCTAAGAATCCACATGCATTCACACCCAAGCAACTTGTTACAGATTAACTGTGTGGCAAGCAAGGTGTTTTTGCCAGGTCTTTTACTGGCATGCTGCATTTTGCAGTTATAAGAAAGGGCCAATTACTTATTACTTATCTTGAAAGGTAATCTTAAAGAAATCACAAACCTAAACTTCTTTATATGAAAAAGAATCAGCCAGCTCTACTTAAATCTTTAGGGTACGTATCTATCTATTAATAGATTTTTATATTGGGAAATTGAACATATAAATGGGTATAAGGAATTAATCATTACCTATGGTCATCAATCAAACCTAGCAAAGCAGTAATAATTGGGCTGTTTTGTTCTTGCTCCCTGACCTTAAAGAGTTCTACATTCAACTCTGTGTCTTTCTAAAACTTTAGATTGTCTTCTTGGATTTTTTTTTAACCTCAAAGTTGTTTAACAAAAACATCTTAGCCTAACTTTGTCATATTTCAAAGCTTTGTTTCAGCTGTGGTGCACTCCGAGTCCTGTGAACACATCCCCCAACATTAAGGTTAAAAGAATTTAAACTACCTGGGTTATTGGGACTCAGTTGCTAACCATTAACTTGAGCTACAATCCATGCAGCTCCTTAGGAGAGACTCACAGACCCTGGCTGTGAAACATATCCTTGTATTTATTTTTATTTATCAAAATTCTGTATACACTTTCATTATTATTATCAAATTAGACAGTACAGCTCAGGGAGGGTTCTTCTTCTCGACAATCCACAGGTAAAAATGCCCAGTAGAACGGGATGCTTCCAAGAGATAAACAGATTATATTGCAGGCAGTGGAAATCTCCCCACGTCCACTCCCACCACGCAAGATACCAGAGAGAGCGCACTGCAGCAAACACGTAAAGACACAGCAGAATCAAAGAATATTCTGGCATCTGTACCCGTGGCCTTGTCTAAACAAGACCGACCCATCAGAGGACTCCCTTCTGATGAGCTGACACCTGAAACTTCAGTTGCAACTTGCTGCTCCTCTGACCTGACCTACAGCAGTGATGCCAGTATTCTCACGATCCAGTCACACCTCAATAGTGTCACTGGCTGCGGACCAAGCTCAAGGGAAGAGTTTAGCTGAGTTCCGGATTCTCTTGGTTAGAAGAAGATTTTGTGGTCCAGCAAGGAACTAACATATAAGGGAATTTTAGTGAATATAAAATGAGGACATGATGCTCCATGATATGGTTGAGGAGAAGATTTATTATAGGTACGAGGGAGAGCACAGCCAGAGGCAGCTGGGAGGGTCCAGACTGAACATGAACCAGGCTTTGGGGGGTGGGGTGCATCCTTGAGAGATGAGAAGAGAGAAGGGGTCTTAGAGGCCAGAAGTGAGCCAGAAGACCAATAGCATTGTCTGGGTTAGGGTTTCTGTTGCTGTGAAGAGACACCATGACCACAGCAACTCTCATAAAGGGAAACATTTAAATGGGGGGTGGGGGCTGGCTTACAGTTTCAGAGGTTCAGTCCATCATCATAGTGGGGCATGGCAGTGTGTTCAGGCAGACATGGTGCTGGAGAAGTAGCTGAGAACTCTACATCTTGTAGGCAACAGGAAGTAGACTGTCTCTCTGGGCATGGTTTGAACATATATGAGCCCTCAGAGCCCTCCTCCACGGTGACACACTTCTTCCAACAAGACCACACCTATTCCACACTTCCTAATAGTGCCACTCCCTTTGGGGGCCATTTTCTTTCAGACCACCACAAGCACCAAAGAAAGCACATAGCCAAAGTTCAAGGGTTGGAGAGGTTTAGGGCAGGGGGTGAAGTATGCCAGCCAGGGTGACTCTGTAACGGGTACCTGCATTTCTGAGAACCCTGTAGCTGGTGTCCCTTTGATATTTCAGATAGGCGCCTCAGTTAACCATTTGTTGGGAGTCTGAGACCTAATGCTTAGAGGACAGCGAGATGGCTTTAGAGCCAAGACGCTGCTGCACAGTTGTTAGCAAGTGACTTTCCCCAAGCTATTTTACCTGGTATATGTGACTGGTCACTGTTAGAACTTGGGCCTCCACCTTTAGCCTAGATCCTACAGTCTGAGTCATGCCAGGCCTCCTTAGAGCTTTCTCTGAGACACAGTTAAGAGGCCTTTTGTAGCTGCCTTCTCTTCCTTTGTCATATTATCCTGAAGTAAACCGACTGAAGGGGAACTTCTCGCCATCCCTAAAAGGCTATAAACAGCCCAGGGGATTTCCAGGGGTAGACTCTGCCAGGGCTGCAACCTAGAGAGGCTCTTCGGGCCTCCCACACCCATCCCTCATGGCGGCTGCTCTCCCCATCTCTCTCTGATTCTTATTTGTAATGAAGCTCCCCTCCAGGATTTAAAGCAGTGATTCTCAACCTTCCTAATACTGTGACCCTTTAATACAGTTCCTTACATTGTGGTGATGCCTCAACCATAAAATTATTTTGCTGCTACTTCATAGCAGTGATTTTGCTGCTGTTATGAATCTCAATGTGAGATATCTGGAGTGTGCACTGAAGAGGTTGAGGACCATTGCTTTAAAAGAAAGCCTCTCCTTTCCGTTAAGGCCCTAATGCGTTTAGATTTTCCATATGTTGTATTGTTTTTGTTTAATATGCTCCTTTTCACCTTAAGGCCCAACTGTGGTCTCAAGACCTTCTAACCCTAATGAACATCATTGCAGGGAATTGGGTCAGCCTCCTTTTCAAACCAACTTTCTGTACACTTTCTTAGTCATTACTACCTTAACCTAAAAAGATTGAAATTTTTCATTTAAATGTTTAGCTCAGAAAGTAGTGGCAGAGCAGCCAAATAAAACAGAAGAAGACCAGTTAAGTTGGAATGTTAGACGGTGAATAATTTCCTTGTACAAATTTTCTTGCAAATATAGTATGAAAAGTACATAGAAGTATCATTTATTGGGGCTAGGATGTTGGCTCAGTGGATAAGAGCACTTGGTGCTCTTTCAGAGGACCCAGGTTCAATTCCCAGCACTGACAAGGTGGCTCACAAGCACCTGTAGCTCCAGTTCCAGAGGATTTGATGCTGGCCTCTACAGGTGTTGCATGCATGTGGTTCACAGACCTACATGTAGGCAAAACAGCCACACACAAACAGGAAAAATAAAAAAAAATCTTGCTGGTTGATAGTGGCGCACTTCTTTAATCCAGCACTTGGGAGGCAAATCTCTGAGTTCAAGGCCAGCCTAGTTTACAAAGTGAGTTCCAGGATGGCTAAGGTTACACAGGAAAACCCTGCTTCAAAAAAATCCTTAAAAATTAAAAAATACTATTTATCATTGAGGCTGAAGTAGAGATATCTCAGTGGTAGAGATACATGAGGCTCTGGGTTTAATTCCCAACACTGCCCCAAACTCAATGCCTAAGTTTGACGTGTAACTTGGGTTTCCTGAGATTTTATTTGCTGAACTTGACAATTGGATTCCTCGGGACACAGGACTCATCTCACAGATAACCATATTAGAGCTAACATCTAGGGAAATGTTTATTTGGGGGTGTTTTTATTATTTATATATTTAGGTTTTTCAAGGCAGGGTTTCTCAGTAGCTAAGGAGCCAGTCCTGGAACTCGCTCTGTAGACCAGGCTGGCCTTGAACTCACAGACCTCTGCCTGCCTCTGCCTCCCAAGTGGTACTAAAAGTGTGTGCCGTCACCGCCCAGTGGGAAATGTTTATAAAAAGACACACTCTATAGTGCAGGTGATGGCATTTCCTTTATTATGACTTATGATATTTTGACAGCTTTCAAATCCAACTCAGATTTAAGGTTGCAGTCTCCACCCGCAAGCCTCATTGGTGGAATAGTGAGCCTCATACATGGTAGTAGAACTTGAGTTTCATCTGAGGTGCTAGAAGCCGTGGTTCTTGAAGTATTTGGCTCTCGCAAGGACATCATTGCAGAAGTCACAGTTTAGATCCTGGTTGCTTCGGATAAAGTTGGGACCCTTACTGTAGGCACAGAGTCCACCTGAAATTCATGTGACAAGTTAATCCTCACTTAGCATAAAGGACACTCTGCAGAAAGTTCAGATTCCCTCTCCCAACTGCCCTCAGCAGGCACCTATGGCCTGGAGAATCTGGTTTTTATTAAGAGATAAACATTTATCTCTTCATTCCAGACTGTGAAACCACTGACCAACAGTAGAACACATACCTCTCAGGTACTGGTCAGGGCTCCAGCTTGGAAACCTAGCCTGGACTTCTTTGATCTTAGATGCCAGCATCTCAGTTTTCTGGGAAACCCAGGAATCACTCTTCCAGGATGTGGGAGGGTAGAAGTTTGGGTCCTAGAAGGAGGGAGGCAGAGGGAGCACCTGATGAGCACTCTCAGCTGAAGGAGCTACTCCTTCGTCTCCCTTCTGCTCCCCGTTCACTCCCCATCTTCCCCGAGATGAAGTGGAGACGCTCCATACGTCTAGGAGAATTACTGCCCCAAACACTGAAGGCAAATGTTGTCAAGGACATGAAAAAATTGGAGTCCTGTGCACTGTTGATGGGAATGCAAAATGGTGTCACCACCATGGAAAAAAAATAAACCACAGGATTTAGACTAAGGAGGGGCAAGCAATCATTTCTCTGTTGCCCCAGTGTAAAAGAGGTCAAGTCAGAGGCCAAGATGGTTAGCGCCTGTAGAATCCAGTGTGATGCCCCTCCTCCATGCTGCAATCTAACTCCAAATGAAGCAGGAAGGAAGACTTCAGGCCTCCTTGCAGGTCATCAGAAGGTCTGAAGGGAATTCTAAACTTTCTGGATGCCGTAGGTCACCATTTTGATAGAGCTATTGGATTGAGGAGAAACGACTGAATTTAGGGGATTATTATTTCATATCAAAAGAGATGGGCTAATCCTTCCCCCAAGGAATGGATTTTACAAAAGAGAAAAACAAACAAAGATGGGAAAGTAGATGGCACCATTCCTAATGCCACAAGGAATCACTGGTCTGCGTTCTCCCTTTGCCAAGGTAACTTAACTACAGGGACTGCTCTGCGTGTCCCATTTCCTTGTTGGTAGCTCCCTGTCCCCATTTAATCAGATTATTGAATGTGTCTATAAATCAAAATGAGAAGAGAAAAGGTATCAGAGGATACTCTTTTTCCCCTTTTTTCTTTTTCTTTTCTTTTTTTGTTTTGTGTTTGTTTGTTTGTTTGTTTTTGTTTTTGTTTTTCAAAACAGGGTTTGTCTGTGTAGGCCTCACTGTCCTAGAAGACACTCTGTAGACCAGGCTGGTCTCAAACTCACAGAGACCCAGCTATCTCTGCCTCCTGAGTGCCGTGATTAAAGGCGTGTGCCACCACCACCCGGCCAGAAGATACTTTCTAATTGAAGTTTATTAGAAGTAGTCAAGAGAAGCCAATTCAAAGGTCGTTAAGTAGTAAATTTTCCTAAAAGCTTGAAAATGACACAATGCACACAGGTCTCTCAACAATAGTCTGAGAGGCAACAGGAAACTCCATCCTCTTCTTCACCCTGGTCCCTGACAGTGGCTCAGCCCCCAAAACTCTGATGAGTAATATTGGATTGAATCAGTACAAGACTAAAACTCAACCCTCAGAACTAAGAGCTATATAGAGAGAAGACAAGGAGAGAAGAACTTAATATTGTTGAGAACCCACCAGACATAGCTACTTTTTTACATTATTCCCATGACTCCTTATAATTCTATTGGAATGGCATTTGGGGGGCTGGCGTAGAGATCAGTGGTAGAGCACCTGCTTAGAACACACATATTTGAGCTCCCCAGCACTGCCAAGAACAAAATGGAATTTTAAGGTAGGGCGATAGATCCAGTAAAATGACCCATCCCAAGGTCACACACAAAGACTACGGAGCAAAGATGAACTCTGTGATCTTTCTTCTGAACTAGTGTCTCAGTGGGAACTCAGAGTCGTGTATCCTGGGTGGTGCAACCTAGCAATAAAGCAATATTCACACTGAAGAGAAATTGTGACTCCAAGTATAGTAGAAATGGTACCAGAATCGCTGTACCTCTCACAGACCCCAGGCTGTTCTCTGTCCCTGTGCCATCTGCAGCGAAACCATAATCATGTTCTCTGGAGCTGGGTCACAAAATGGAAGGGCTACATTCTCTCTCTTTCTGTGTCTCTGTGTGTGTTTGTGTGTCTGTGTATGCATGTTCACATGGAGCGTATGTGTATAAGCATGCCCGTGGAGGTCAGAGATCAATATTGAGTGTATTCTTCATTCTCTTACTGAACGTGGAGCTCACTGACTTGTCTGGCTGGCTAGTGAGCTTCAGGAGTCCACCTGCCTCCACTGTGAGATTACAGGCATACACCACCATGACTGGCTTTCCAAACGAGTGTTGGTGAACTTATGTCTTCATGTCTTCCCAGGGACCCATTTCCTCAGCATCAAGTCACCTTGACTGATGGAGTCATTACCTGTATCACCCCGATTCCATTGCCCATGTTGCCCATGTTGCCCATGTTGCCTATGTCGACCACAAAATTGCCACCCTGAGACTCCCTTGACAGGACACCAGCGATCACTGCAGGATCCATACAATATTTCCGGCCAACGATTCTCATCGTGGGCTGATATCTCAGAAGATATGGCCTGTCTCTTTCAGCCAGCCTTTCAGAGGCACGGACTCCTGGAACACACACAGAAGGAAGTATGTGGCTGGGGGTGCTTAGGCTTAGACTTAGGCCTGTGACTGAAAATCCCAAATTTAAACCCCTAGTAGCCATTTCTTGACCTCATAGCTTAAGACCTTTTCTATGAAGCAAAATCAAGACCCCATGCATGCACCTCCTGAAGTTAGAGATCTCTGTGGCCACCAGTGCCATGAGCCAAGCTCTGTTCCTCCCATGACAATCCTGTGGGCACAAAAACCACTGGTCTAGTCCAAAGAACCCCAGCAAAAGTTTCTCAATGAACTACATCATGTCACTGCAACGGGTCACTGTGTGAAGGAGAAAGACCCCTTACCCTTCAGTTAGGGACTTTAGGCAAGTCCCCCTGGACAATTTTGCTCACAACCGCCCAAATTTCTAGTTCTATTTGGTGCCAAGAAATCATCTATACATTTAAACTATTAGTAAGAAGATGATTTATCTGATTTACATGGGATAGCCCCAGTTCTAGTCTCTTCTGCAATCTGAGAAGCATTTTTACCCCATGAGATGGGGTTTGCAAAAACTGTAAAAATGGCTATCCCAGCTTCAGGAGGGAGTTGAAAAACGACATGACTCGTTTTAGAAGTAGAGCCAGGCCTCTTACAAGGGCTTTGGACCCCATGTGGAGGGCTCTCATTCCACTCCTTCCTTTGAGTAGGACCGTGAGAAACAGTAGGAGTCAAGAGGAAAGCGTAGACACAGAGATGGTTAACTACCGCAGTAAGGCAGGCCATAGCGTTTTCCAATCACACATGATGCTCCTGGGGTGTTCAGGGTTCGGATGTTTCCGTAGCATCCCCAATTGCTGCCTTCAGAGGAGCCTGCAGATGGAGAAAAGTTCAGCCTAGGGTACTGAGCTAGAAGGCTGTGAATGAATGACATCAATAGAAACAATGGCGATAAAATCTGCGAAAGCTAGAGCATCGCACTATGTGTCAACCTCTTGAAATTTAAATAGTAACATCACAACGATATTATAATATCGTAATAGTAATACCACAACGCTGGTTTGATTTTAAATTCTCACGCCCTCTCCTGCAAACGTGAGAAACTGTTGGAGCAGTTAGTTCCTCCTCGGAAAAGCTCAAGAGTGTCTCACAGCTCGATGATCTGGTAAGGTGTTCATGTTTGCATGTACTAAAACATGTATTTTAAAGCTAATGTCATCTTGGCATCTCCATCCAGACCCCAAGTAAAGTTATGGTCTATAAACAGGGACTGGGTTTGGTGTTAGCTTCTCCCAGAGCATTCTGGGCAGGAGGCCAAGGTTGTAAAGAGAGTGTGTTCAGACCAGCTATAGGACCAGGTTTCTATATGAGGTACTCTCTTTCTGCATCTTTCTTGTATTGCTCTCCCAAAGATATATGCTATCCTAGTCACCCCTGAATGAAAGGCATTGATTTCATTAATTACTTGACTAATTAACTGATGTTTTTTGAAACAAGATTCATGCAGTCCAGATTGGCCACTGTGCAGTCAAGGATTATGTTGACCTCCTGGTTTTCCTATCCCCACCTACCAAGTACTGGGATTACAAGTGTTCAGGGGCCAGCTAAATCCAGGATCCCCCTTGTCTTGGTCTCCAGAGTAATCTAAGTCACTGTGCCTTGATTTTTACATAGGTGGGCATCAAACTGAGACCCTCATACTTACCTAGCGTGCACTTTACCAGTGGAGTCATTTCCCTAGCATGGAGACAGTACTTTCAGAGTATAGTTTATTCTCTGACTAAAGTAAGTTATATCATTCACTCAATGATTGCCAGCTCTTGGAAATTCTGTCTATGGCATGTCATTATTTGAGTCCTGATTGCTCACATAAATACATCTTAAGATTCTATGTTTTTATGTGTGTGTGCACATGCATGAGTTTATGTGCACTGTATCCTAACAGGAACCCAAGGAGGCCAGAAGAGAGTATTGGATCCTCTGGAACTGGAGCTACAGGTGTTTGTGAGCTGCCATGTGGGTGCCAGGAACTAAACCCAGCTCCTCTGCAGGAGCAATAGGTGCTTTCAGCTGCCAAGCCATCTGTTTATCACCAGGGTCTGTTTTCATTACAGCTTCGTGAAGCTGACATCTGAAAATACTCATGCTTTGGAGTAGATGCTTTTACTTCATAGATGTGAATGAGTTAACCTGAGAGAAATGTTATTTCTCTCAGTGGAAAGGTCTAATGATTTGCAAATACATTCAAAGTAAAAATTTAAGCAGATATCCTTATTAATGTCTCAGCCAATGCATTTCTGCCTTCATGATTGCTGACAAATGTCCTTCATGTGACAGTTGATGGTGTCATTGCTCTGTCCCTCGCTGACCTTCCCCTAACCTCACTACACCATCCTCACAGCTCCTTATATTCTCAGTACTTTGCACCTTGTAGGAGTTTTCAAACACTGGCTGAATGAATTAGCACATATAAAACAAATGATAAGTAAATAAACATTTCAAATAAAAAGCAAATGCTTTCACTTCCTGCTCTAACTGCGAGCAGTGCTAGAACAAAGCTGAAATCCCAGGCTGTGACTATGCGCCCATCAGCTCCACCACATCTGGATTCTCTTAGAGCTGCTTTTCTCCTTGAATTATGTTAGTCACATGACAGCCGCCTCAGTCTATCCTTGGAAATACATAGTCTCCAAATAAATTCAGCATTGTGGTGTTCGATGAGTGATCTCTATTGCCATGTTGATGGAGAGTCACAGTCACCACGGAAGCAAATCCCTCATGTGTCTGTGAGGGATTATCTAGGTTAATTGAGCTGGGAAGACCTACCTAGATGTAGGCGGTACCATTTCATGATCTGCTGTCCTGGACTGAATGGGAAGGAGAAAATGAACGGAGCACCAGCATTCATCTCCCTCCACTCCCTGATGATAGCTGTCATGTGACCAGCTGCCTCAAGTCCCCACTGCTATGACTTGCCCGCCACGATGGACCATAATCTCAAACTGTAATCCAAATTAGTCCTTCTCTCCTTAAATTGCTGTAGTAAAGTATTCTGTCCCAGCAATGAGTAAAATAACTAAGACAGTTTAAGATATTTTATAACAGTCATGAGCAGTTACAAGGGTGACTATTAAAGCCTGGTTTCCAGCAATGTTTCCAGTGTCCGGGAATTATAGGGAATCCCCATCCTTTTATGGGACCCTTGGGACAGGTTTCTCGGTGTTTATTCCTAACTCTGGGGTTTATCAGACATTTTAGAAGAAGAAAAAATAATGCTTTCACTTTAGTTCACAAATGGAAGTTATAGCATTACCATCTTATGATTTTTTTTTCTATCTGTTTCCAAGTTTGTGAAAAATGAAACACACTCACCAGTCAAGGCCAGGAGGCCCAGAAGCAGCCACAGTGGAGACATGCCGAGTAGCTGGTTCCACGGCTCCTGAAATGCTTTTCAAATCAAAATTGGTTTAAAGATACAAAGCGTCAGTCATTGTCAGAACAGTACATTCTGTCTATGGGGGGGAGTTCTATTCGATGGAATGAGTTCCCCACTTCCAAAGTAGGAAAAGGATAATTTGAATCATAATGGAGAAGTAAAATCAGACAGGTGCACCATTTAGCCTTTTAAGTAGACCATGGGAATGCCGAGATACTTTGCGTCTCAGCACTGAGAAACACAATGACCCGACTTGGGATGCTGAAAAGCAATTCACATTAAGCAAATATGACATGAAAAGCAGAATGTTTTTATTGGCTTTCTAAAATTGCTTTCGTTGAGCTATATATTTTTCTCTGCTCCCTTCCCTTCCTCCCCCCTCCCCTTCTATCCTCTTCCATGGTCCTCACACTCTCAATATACTTTTTCTACTTCCCATATAGATTAGATCTATGTATGTCTCTCTTAGGATCCTCTTTGTTGTCTAAGTTCTCTGGGGTTGTGAGCTGTAGGCTGGTTTTTCTTTGGAAAATCAGAATTTTGTATAGATGGTTTTCATGAATTGGGCACTCTTCCCTTTAGGTTGGAGAAAAGGACACGCCTTACTCAGTGCCTTGGAATCAACCCTAATTCTTTACTTTGGATGAAGGAAGGGAGAAGAAAGACTTGCCTTATTGCTCTGAGGCCCATTCTGGGAAACCCCAGATGCCCTGGGACCCCTGGAACTGTGTTCCTCATTCTCTTTTTGTAGCACTCCTAGGTCAGAACCCAGGAAAGATAGATAGACAAGGTCCCAGAAAGTAGGTCACGGGCTGGGCCCCAGGGTTGGAATCATGAAGCGCTCACTCAACTGGAGAACTGGTAGCAAAGACCATCAAGCATGGGCTGCCATGATGACTTTCTTCCTCACCCCAACCAGTTCTTCCAGAAACTTCCATGACACCATGTACAAGCATTCGTGGTTCCCTCTGATTACCACACTACACAAATGTCACAACAAACCCCACCCGCTACAGATGCTTCCCATCCTCTCCCCTGGTCAGCAGAGTCTCTCTCTCTGTCTCTGTCTCTGTCTCTCTCTATCTCCTATAGATGGGTTCTTCCAAACACCCAGGATGAGATGTCCCCAGATGGAGAGGCATTCAGGAAGTAACTTGATTTCCATCTTTACAAACTGTAGAGCACATGGCCCTACAACCAAACCATGTTTTCTGCTTATCTTTCCTACAACATTGAAACGGTCTGTCTGATTTCCCTTATCTGTGTAGAAAATGTCATGTTTAGGGACCAGAAATGCTCAGGAACCTGGACTATCGGCTGCCCTTGCAGGAGCGTTCAGATTTCTTCCCTCAACAGAAGCCATGTACTCTGCATTTCTGGTCTCAGGAATGCAGGTGAGGGAGGACAGTGAATCTCCTGAAAGAATTGGGGAAAGAGCTTAGGTACAGAAAGAATGTTCATAGCCTTACAAAAATACAAAAATACGCCCTTTCTCCTAGTTTCCTTCTGATGCTGTGATAAATGCCATGACTGAAATCGATCCGGAGGAGAAAAGGGTGTGTTTCGTCTTACAGTTTAAAGTCCGTCATCAAGGGAAAGTGGGCTAGGAACATAAACAGGGCAGAAGGTCAGAATGGCATAAGCTTGAAGTAGAAACCATGCAGGCACACTGCTTACTGGCTTGCCCTCAAGTTCACATTCAGCTCCCTACCTTTCTTACACATCCCGGGAGCACCTGCCTAGGATGGCAGTGCCCACAGCGGGCTGGGCCTCCCACATGGATCATTAGTCAGGAAAGTGCCGCTGCCCCAGACATGTCCACAGGCCAGTCTGCTGAATTGAGTCTCCCACATCTTTTTCAGCCAAAGCTTCCTCTTTCTAGGTGTGTTAAGCAGATATCTCAAGGGCTTTATGGAAAGTTCCTTTAGAAAAACAGCCCTGCTCATGCTCAAAGGCTGACCCTGGAGCATTTCAATGGATTTTGCTGATTTTCCAGGAAAGGGAGATACTTCCTGTTGGAAACCCAAGAGGAAAGACAGAGCTTCTCTTGCAATACGAGAGTTACCCCATTTTCCAAGCATGGAACTAGGTATCTGCATTGAACTTGCACCAGTTACTTAACAACACAAAATCAATTTAACAACAAAAAATTTCTGATGCCCAATGCAGTCAGAGACGCAAACCCATTATTTTCAGTTATTCAGAGCAAAAAGCAACAATGGGCTTCTTGTATGAATAAACAAGGTAGTCCATTCATAAACAGCGTGCAGAGTGACTCAGACTTCATGGCCCAGTTTGTCCAGGTGTCAAACAGTACTCTATACTTAAAAGCTGAGGCATCCCGGGGTGTGCTCAAGGAGTGTTCATTTGTTACATATGACTCATTTGCTAGTAGCCCGGCCGCTCCCCACATTCAAAGGCATTTTGAAAATGGCAGTCAAGGTAAGTGCAATGCCCTGGTATCAGTCACAATATCTACTATGACACTGTCCTCCTGATATAAAGAGCTAAAAAGGAAAGGCAGCAAGGAAGTATCAAGCTGCAGGAACAGGCCACCTTTGGAATGACAACCAGAGCGCTCCTCAGGGGCTACCCGACATTCCTCACAGCCTCTGTCAGGACATCTTCTTCTGCCTGTCTTTTCCCCACTGGGCATTCTGTAATTCCCAAAGCATTGTATTGGCTTGTGATGGATAAAGACCATTTCTTCCTCAGCTCTGAATAATTGAGGACCAGAAGTAGAAATAAGGATCTTTGACATTTATAGCCCTTTGCCAGGAAGTTCCAATCCTTTTCTATGAAAGCCGTGGATCTTCACCTTAACCTTGAAAGATAGCAAGTCATACCCTTGGGACCCTCCAGCTAGCCTGCAAATGTGCTGTATCAGCACCCTGGTGTCTGAGAGATGAGCGTGGCCCTGCCTCATCATGACCCATTTGATTCTGGAAGAATTGAGAACTGGGCTAGGTAGCCACATTAGACATGGTCTCTTATACTACATGCTTGGTTGTTGCCCTTGCTTTGTTGCTAACCCACCTTTCCATCCGTCTTCTCCAGATGGGCGGATGGGCCATCCCAGCAGCATCCTTTCCCACTCTTCCCCCTCCTGGTGTTCTGTTCTTCTCTTCACTTCTAACCATTGGTAAAGACCCACTGCCTTACAGACTGGTCTGTCTCAATGGTCCTTACATTCAAATGACAGTAACAATGACAGTCATAAACATAAAATGCTTCTGCCACTAGGGTTGCACTCCTAGAGAAATAGAATCTACTTTTTAGAGCACAATATAAGGTGGCAACATTACAGATCTTTGTTTGCTTGTGTTTTGAGATCAGGTTTCATAGCCTGACCTAGAACTTGCCATATAGCCCAGGCTCGCTTCACATCTACAGGGTTCCACCTCTGCCTACTGAAGAAAGAGGTTTCAGCTGTGAGCTTCCACGTCCAGCTTGATTTTATAGGGTCTTGCCTTGTAACCCAAGCTGACCTGGGACTGGACCTCCTCTTGCTTCACCTTTCCTGGTACTGGGATTGCAGATGCGTGCCCATGTATGTTTTAACCGGTTCCTGCTCACAGACTGTATTTTTCCGTGGTCTACGATCACATGCACTTGCTAAGCTTGGGTTATGAGTTGTGAGCACCAGCCAGGAAAACTTAGGTCTGAGAAAGTCTCTCCCATGCCGGCAGATCTGTAATGTTCCTTTTTCTGTGGAGACTGTCTGAAAGGGTGTCTTCTGCCTGTGTACCTCTGGTTTTGCTCGTTCTCATTTTGCCAGAGTTAAGAAAGAAGATGGAAAAACCATCAGCCTTGCATGAGCTTAGGACTATCCCCTTCTGAACAAATATTTAATAAAAAAGATCCAGGTTTCCTCCATCATAGACTCTTAGCCTTTTTCCATCTTTTAACTCTGATATCCAAGACTTAAACTGTTAGACCAACAGCTCTCTACCATGCATCATGACCCCTTTGGGGGGTTGTCAAATGACCTTTTCCCAGGGATCGCCTAAGACTACCAGAAAACACAGATATATATTACAGTTATAACAGTAGCAAAAAATTACAGTTATGAAGTAGTAATGAAAAAATTTTTATGGTTGGGGATCACCACAACATGCAGAACTGTGCTAAAGGGCCACAGCATTAGGAAAGTTGAGACCCATTGTGTTAGGTACACTGACCTATTTCACGGTTTCCAGAAAAAGCAGGACCCTGCCCACCCTCCACACACTTGAGATGTCTGGGTCAATGTTTCATCAGCAAGACTGAGCATGAAGGGAGAGAGGCTTACCACCCGACAAGGTACCAACACTTTGGCCTTTGGTTTTAAAAGAACTAAAAAGACATTCTACTTGATCTATTGTCAGCAGAGAGAAGACAGACACATGGTTCTGCAGTCTCACCGACAGACACGTAATTCTGCAATCTCCCTCTCAGTAGCCCAAGGAGGTCCTTTAATCTTTTAAGGATCTCAACTCAGGCAAACCCAGGATTCATGGGGCTGTGACAGAGACAAGAATTTTAGGACTAGGCAGCATGGCATAGAGTTGCTGATTTTACTGGAAATATTTTAATATAGGCTCTAAGCAAACGTGTTAGGGGAGAGAAGCACTCCAGAAGTAAATAAGACATAACTAAGTGTGGATATTGGCTTCCCACAAGAGAATAGCATAAATTAAGACGCAGGTGGACTGTGGCGGCACCTGCCTTTAATCCCAGCACTTGGGAGGCAGAGGCAGGCAGGTCTCTGTGAGTTCAAGGTCAGCCTGGTCTACAGAGCGAGTTCCAGGACAGTAAAGGCTCCAGAGAAATCCTGTCTAGAAAAACAAAACAGAAAACAAAACAGAATTAAGACATATCCAGGTATGGATATGGGTTCCTCCAGGAAGAGTTGCCAGTAAGTATCTTAGGGTTAGCCATACGTGTCATTTTGGTGGCTCTCAACTTATAAGTCAGAAGGCAGTTAGCAATCCCCCCTTTTCTCTTCTGATAAATGAGATTATAAGGCAGCTCTGGAGATGCCTTGAATG